AGGAGGAGGGCGCCATCTTGTCCACTGCGGCGCCGATGCTGTGATAAATGAGCTTCTGAACACCGACCGTACCGAGCGGACGCAAGCCTCGTCTATCAATTACCTGCTGCGCAGCCGCGCCCTCCGGGGGACAGAGAGGCTAAGAGAGAGAGAGAGAGAGAGAGAGAGAGAGAGAGAGAGAGAGACTGTTGCGATATTATAAGCCTGCCGCGGTTGACGAGCGCCGGGGACAGACTCGCCCCTGCTCTGCTCCCCACAAAGTGCGTTCGACGCGGAGTGAGGAGGAGAGGGCCAAAGAGACCTTACCGCCTCGCCAGCCGGGCGAGGAGGAGGCCGGGGTGAATAAAAGTGGGCGAGATTCGCACTGTTACGTCGGGGTGGGGCTGCCGGGGCGCTGCCGGGGCGCCACGGCGCACGGCCCCGGGGAGGAGGCTGCGAGAACGGAAAACGTTCTCTTGTCGAATGTTTTATGCACCGGAGGAGAAACGGCACGAGCTGTGTAGTTCCTCTCCTTGGCTGCGCATTCATTCCTTTTGGGGAAACGGCAGAGGGAGTGAGGGAGAGGGAAGCAGGGAGAGAGAGAGACCGACAGACAGACAGAGATCGGGGGGACTTGGTGCGCTGCAGCCGAGGAAGCCAAGGCGCTGCAGCAGTGCCCCGCGCAGTTCCCAAGACGCGAGGGAGGAGGCAGTGCATCCAAAAGGGCAGGCTGTTGCGGGCTACTTCCTCCTCCTCCCATGTTAAAGCATAGGCGCCAAAAAAAGAAGCCCGCAACAGCCTGCCCTTTTGGATGCACTGGGAGGAGGCGGAGGCCAGAGTGGGCTTCAGGAAGGCAAACATTTATTCGGTTGGTAACGAAGAGGAACCTTTCTCCCTTCTCTCCCCCGTCCTGTGTCTCCCTCACGCTTTTCTCTTCCTCCCGCGCACTTGCTGCACGAGTGCGGCGTGGCCGGGGAGCAGTGGGGGAGGAGGAGGTGGCAGCGGCGGCGGTGACCCGCGGACTCGGAGAATTTGCCTAATTATCCAGATAGGCGTGGAGGATCCTGGAAAACGCTCGTGAGAAGTGGAAAAGGGGGGGGGGGCAGTGCGCAGACAGCTTGAGGGGGAAGTGGAGGAGTGACGCAAGTAAAGGAGCGGGAGGAAGAGGGACTTGCTAAACGCTTCACTTTTGATGAGCGAGCGAGAGGGGGGCCGCGATGAGCAGCAAAGAGAGCAGAAGAGAGTGATTGTTTTCTGTTCAAACAGCCTGGCGCGGTCCGGTAGGGTGGGTAGGGTGTGGCGGGGCGAGGCCGGCGCGGTCGCGCCAGTCTAGCTGCAGTATTTAATTGCGAGCAAACACTCGTAATTGCGCAAATTATTCCGGGGCGTGGCTGGGCATGCACGCGTGCGTCTGAAGAGCCATGGAGCGAGCGGGCGAGAGAGGGAGAGAGAGATAGAAATGGAGAGAAAGAAAGGGGGAGATAGAGCTAGATAGAACAAGAGAAAGGGAGACAGACACAGAGAGAGAGAGAGAGAGAGACGCGGTGCGACGCCACGCCACGCCGCGCCACGCCACGCCACTCCTGCGGCCCAATCTCGACGAGTTCAACAACTCATCGGCCAAGTTGTTGGGCCGCGACTTGGCGCCATCACGGTGGCGCCTCCGATAATGAGTCTCGAGTCAGATTGCGCCCGTCGTGTGCGTTGGGGGTCGGGAGGCGGCGGGGGCGGGGGCGCGGCAGAAGCCCTGAGTTTTGTTTGTCGAACCGTCTGCCCGTGACAAGGAAAGCATGAATTTGCGATGTCTGCTGGCCTAGCCTGTGTGTATATACACCTTTCCTTTCTCCCCCGTCTCTCTCTCTCTCCTCAGCTCTTTCTCACTTCTATTTTCCCCCGTCTATCGTCCCTCATTTCCCGTCGTGCAATTCCCCCCTACTCCTCGTCGTCGGCTTCTCTAAGCCCACTATTCTGCCCCCTCCTGCCCCATTCTTTGCAACCCCTTTCTTTTCTGGCTCTCTTTCTCCCCGTGAAATTAACGTTATTTGTCGCGCGGAGAGTCTGAGGGGGAGAGCAGGAGGATAGGATCCCCTGGAATGGCGTTGGACAAATCTCGTCCACGTTGTTGGGAGGGTGAGCGGGCGCCCCTTGGGCGGCGGGGGCGGAGG